ACAGGGGAGAGGAAGATAATCTAGTTGGTCTAGTATTTTATACTCTCAGGTGTTACTGATTTCTTAGGTGACCTTCAAGATGTTAGTACAACTCTCTAATTGGAGATGCTATTTTCTGGGGATGTTAATATCCACTCTATTCACAAAATTGTAAGAAAAGTCAAGTAATATGTATGAAACGCTCCAAAGTTCTGCTTAAAACTAAAATATCTTAGTTGTCACTGAAGCCACAGATATTTTGTGAATGCAGCATATTCCCAATAGGCAGTCCCTCTTAGCCTCGCAGTCCAAGCTGGCAACAGGATCACATCCCAGGGAATGAACAGAAAGGCTGGCAGGCAATCACACCACTGATATCTCAGGTGTGTGGGCCCCCCATTTTTTTGAGACAGAGTCTCACTCTGTCCCCCAGGCTGGAATGCAGTGGTGCCATCTCTGCTCACTGAAACCTCTACCTCCCGGATTCAAGTGATTCTCCTGCCTCAGCCTCCTGAGTAGCTGGGAGGGATTACAGGCACCCACCACCACACCCAGCTAATTTTTTTTTGTATTTTTAGTAGAGATGGGGTTTCACCATGTTGGGCAGGCTGGTCTCAGCCTCCTGACCTCAGGTGATCCACCTGCCTCAGCCTCCCAAAGTAGGGGGATTACAGGGGTGAGCCACGGCACCCGGCCATGTGGGTCCTCTTTTAAACAGACGTCTCTTGGTGGAGACTACACTCTGCAACCAGTAAAAGCTCCATATGATTCCATCTGAACGTACTTCCATTGTTAATCTGGAACGTACCCCATTTTCTGGTCCAGTCTCGATGTTCCCCATTCAGAGGACCTGCAGTTTCAATTATTCCTTGTGCTCTCCTCACCAGTGGCCACCTTCCACTACCCACCTTCTCCTCTTTCTTCTCCTTCCTGCTGCCTGCTGTCTCATCAAGCACCCTGTCTTGGTTTTTTGACCCGTCACTATGCTCACAAAAGAGGAGGGCATTGTACTAGGGCAAATGATGGGGAGGCAGAGAGACCAGCAGAGTTAGGTAGGAACAGTGCTTCTGAAAAATCTCCTGATAACAGCATTCATTGTCCTTTTCACAGCTCAGGAGAGGCCTTGGTTAAAATGAGGGGGAAAAAATCAGTAGAATAAGTGGATTCTTGTTGAGCCCCCAGTGCAAGAGGTTCCTATTCAAAGTTGGGTGTCTTTACCCATTAGGATGGCTTTTACCTGAACTTTCTGAGCTTCAGGCAGAACCCTCTGCATCTTCTAACCTAAGCAGTATCGTTCTTCCTCTTTTTTTTTCACTTTTCAGTCATAGTAGATTAAGTGTCAGAGCTGGTTCATGAGAAGAAGATGAAGAGCAGGCATTGAAAAATTGAGAAAAATGTATATTTTTACCATGCCCAACACCGTTGGCAAGGCAGTAAAGGGCACTGCCTCCCCCTCAGTTTCCTCCCTTGCTGTTTGGTTTCTGTGCCTCCAGTGCTTCGTTGTGGCTTTCCTAGGAAATCCTCTGTCTGTGCTCTGTGCTGACATTGTATCCATAGGCCACTTCTTGCCATTCACATATGTAATTGAGAGAGTCGACTATACCCCTAACTCTGAATTACATAGCTGCAGTATAATCATTTGTTTTATTGATTATCTGAAAGAATTTTTTAAAAATTCAGGATTGACTTCCATATGCTATGCAAGTCATTTCGCAGTTGGTTTCATTTATCCTTGGTTCCTTTGTGATAAATGGAACAGTTTAATTTTTCTTAAAATGACCACATGCTCTGTACTAAGTGCCTTATGTCTTCCATTTTCAAAATACCTTCACAAAACAGGTACTTACTAGATTATTCTCGAGTTATAGATAAGGAAACTGAGGCTTATGGAGGTTAAATGACATGCCCAAGTCACTCAGCCAAGGAAATGGAATTCATATCTGACTCCTACATCTGTATAGGCCCAAATGGATCATTTTAAAGTGAAGGAACTTATATGACCTTCCCCTTGATGTTATAATTCAAGTATCCACTTTTTGGTTTGTGTCCCCTTCTGACAAATCAAGACTTGTCATTCCTAACCATAGGCTTAAACCTGGAAAGCCATCTCTGACCATTTATCTTCACTTTTTGTTTCTTTACTTGGAGAGCAACAATCAACAGACCTCATCCATTTTTTGTATAATATCTAAAACCATTTTGGGATTGCTGTAAGTAATACACAAGAAAATCATGGGAAAAATTTTTTCTTAAAAGACAATCATTCATTCCTGCTGAGTGACTGTGTTTCAAACTCATACAGAAGTGAAGGTTGTGAGCACCTCACTAATCTGAAAATATACCCCATTTAGTAAGACAGTTTCTGAAATACCTACACTCCACCATCACAGCACCTCAATAATTATAGACAGCACCTTCCTCTAAGGAGCTCCCAAGTGCTTTGCAAACATTTCTCTTTATTAAGTAACATACCATTGTTCTGTGGCTGGGAAGGGAACAGGATGCTTTGTCTTATTTAAAATGTAGGACTGGTAATGCATTCAGTGACTAAGCAGGTTGCTCTCGGGTCATTCACTGACAAGGCCAGGACTAGAGTCCTCAGGGTTTGTGGTCCACCATGGACTGAGGACCACTAAATCCACAAAGGACCATGTGGCAAGTGCCTGGTCCAACTCCTCACATACAGAAAATGAAACAAACCCAGAGAGATGAAAACACTTAAAAAGCCCCGGATCACATGGGTAATTAATGGTAGAGCCAATACTACAGGCACACAAACAACATACCTATATATGCTATGGAGAGAAACATGACAACTGTGAAGAATCAATTTATAGACACATTAGGAGAGTGTGAAAATAAAAAGGCTTCATCAGTGACCTTGCCTCGAGGAAAAACACACACAAGGTGAAAGTTTCAAGCAGAGCCTTTTAACATAGATGAAGTTTCAACTTCCTAGCAGCCAGAAATACCATCTGCAACTTAAGGCACGTTTCCCATAAAAGGTGACAGGTGGACACATTTTAAATGATAGTTGGCCAGCCCATCATAGCCTCTATAAATTGTCTGAAAGCAGGAGGATAGCAAAGACCAGTTGACTTCCAAGCATGTTTACAGCTGACAGAAACGTTTCGGCTAAAAACATGCATGACTGTCTCTCTTAGGGAATGTCTTACTTCAAAAAAAAAAAAAAAGTACCATTGTAAACACTGTGCATAGACTGAAGTCTTCAGCAAATTGAGATTATTAGCAATGAGGCTTCCCTAAACTTTCCTGTTTTAATCTAAAAGTAGAATTCTCTTCTAACCCTGTGATCTTATGCATCATACTGTGTGGTCAGTGTGCTTCAAAACATACCTGTTTATGTTTGAAAACACAACAACAACAAAAATTCCTGATGAGAGAAAGTTTAGTAAAATGGATCATGAACATACAGCACTTAATACCAACCCTGCTACATAGTCAGCACTCAATACACGGCGATTGTTTTCATTGCTGCTATTACCATGACACATCAAACCTCTTCTGTTTCTTAATGGGGAAAAAAGGAAAAACAGTCAAGGCATATATTTTAAATGGAAGTTAGCTCAAATTTTAAAAGATTTAAAAGATGATGCATAGTTCAAATGTTGCAGTGTTACTCTAAGGAGTTTCAGAGGCTTTGGGTTTTAGTTTGGATCATGAAAGGATACGTGGAAGGACTTTTTTCTCTGAGGCAAGGGCCTATACTGGGCAATCAGGAATGAAGTGAGAGATCGACCAAATACGCAGTTCATCTCACCTGTCAGGAGCAGAGCTCAGGCCAAATAGCACAAAGAAAAGAAGTCTTTAAGTAATTATCTTAAAGAGATGCCAGAGGCCCATGGACTTTAAGAATACCTCATGTGGTCATTAAGTGACTGAGTATTATTACTTACCTTACTGTTTGTAACAAACTTGATCATTTGGTTTCTAAGCCAAACCAAAGCAGTAAACTGAGGAGAAACAAGGGTTTCTGCCAACAGGCTGAGAGCAAAGGAGGATGCAGGAAAAGTATTTTAAAAATTGACCCAAGAGTTCAAAATGCATATGGAAGCATTTAATAGGGGTGGGAGGTATCCTTATAATAAGAATACCATGCATGTATTCCCACACTGCTCTTGGTGGTCTGCAGAGTGATTTCATATGTATTTTATGTGAACACCGGCACAATGAGGTAAGTAGGACTATATACCTCAGAGGCATTTGGTGATTTGTCAGAGTGGTGTGTAGTGTGTTGGTGCCCAGATTTGAATAGGACCATTTGAGTCTGATCTCATCATGTTGCCCACTGCCTACTCACCTCTACACCCGATGAGGCCAGTCTGCAGCTCAGTACAGTCAATAGAGAACAGGCAATTAACCCTTAAGTTACATGTTAGGAAGATTTCTGTCTAAAGTAGATAAACTTGAAAGTATAACTCTTCAAAATGACTTGTTCCTATGTTGGCAAATATTTTCAAAACTCACAATCAACACATAGATGTATTTATAAGACAGACTACTAGAAGTGAGGACTTTCCCCAAGGAACCAAGCTATCGTGACCAATATCCTTAGTTCTCAAGGATTCTAGAGCACCCCATGTCTCCAGAGATCTTTCTTCTCTCTTATTTCTTATATTTGTTTGATAATGTTAATGGGAAAGACTAAATCCCCTAATCAGGACACTGAAAGTGACCCCCTTGAAAAGTAGCCCTCCCTTTTCCACAGAGTGACTTTGAAGACTTTTAGTGGGGAATATCTGGTAGCTTTCCAAGAAAGCCGTTTTATGGCATAGGGAAATGGAAAACAAAACTGTCCCGGCATCCCCATAAAGCAAAATTTCTCTGCACATGAGAGGCTAGGAGGGCCTGGACTTTTCAATCAAGGATGATCCATTAAGCAATCAGATTTTATTTTTTAATTGTTTTGTTTTTCTTTTTTGTTGTTTTTCTCTCCTTCGTTCTCCATCCCTTGCTATATCTCGCTCTGTCCTGCTTGCTGTCTCTTCCTACATCAACAGGTGAGAAGCCCCACCAATGCAGCATCTGTTGGCGCTCCTTCTCCTTAAAGGATTACCTTATCAAGCACATGGTGACACACACAGGAGTGAGGGCATACCAGTGTAGTATCTGCAACAAGCGCTTCACCCAGAAGAGCTCCCTCAACGTGCACATGCGCCTCCACCGGGGAGAGAAGTCCTACGAGTGCTACATCTGCAAAAAGAAGTTCTCTCACAAGACCCTCCTGGAGCGACACGTGGCCCTGCACAGTGCCAGCAATGGGACCCCCCCTGCAGGCACACCCCCAGGTGCCCGCGCTGGCCCGCCAGGCGTGGTGGCCTGCACGGAGGGGACCACTTACGTCTGCTCCGTCTGCCCAGCAAAGTTTGACCAAATCGAGCAGTTCAACGACCACATGAGGATGCATGTGTCTGACGGATAAGTAGTATCTTTCTCTCTTTCTTATGAACAAAACAAAACAACAACAAAAAACAAACAAAAAAGCTATGGCACTAGAATTTAAGAAATGTTTTGGTTTCATTTTTACTTTCTGTTTTTGTTTTTGTTTCGTTTCCTTTTGTACTACATGAAGAACTGTTTTTTGCCTGCTGGTACATTACATTTCCGGAGGCTTGGGTGAATAATAGTTTTCCCAGTCTCCCTCGGATGGTGGCCTTAAGGCCTGGTAGTGCTTCAAGAGGTCCACTGGTTGGATCTCTAGCTACTGGCCTCTAAATACAACCCTTCTTTACAAAAAAATCTTTTAAAAAAAAGTAAAAAAAAAAAAAAAAAAAAAATTTCCACTTGTGAAGAGCACTACAAAAAATATATAACAAAATCTAAAAGGCCTACTGTCTTTAAGTACACCGCTTGCAGTGTTTCAGTGGACATTTTCACAATTCTGGCCGCTTGGACTTCACAGTAACCAGTTAAAACTGTGGAATATCACTTCTGGTTGAAAACCCAGAGGAAAGGCCCTGCTGTTTTCCACCTACCACGCTGTCTGATTTCATAAAAGGGCTGTGGGGGTGGGAAGGGCAGTGGGTTCGGTGGTGTGGGAAAGAAAGACGAATGGCAGGCTTCTCCCCCAGATTCTGCCCGGGTCCACACACCCTGGCCCACCTTCTCCATATCCCCCTCTTGCAGCAGAAGCCAGGAAGACTTGGACAAGCAACAAGCAACAGTGGCTATCGTATTTATTCAGTGTCTTCGCTGAGCCACAGCCTCAGCACAATCAAGAGGGACTTTCATGAAAGGCAGGAATGCGGATAAAACAAAGATATCAGAAATGTGCACCTATGTTTCTAGGTACAAGAGAAGGATTATTTCCAACAATCTTTGCAAAAAAAAAAAAAAAAGTGTCAGGATATATTCTTGTGGAAGAGAAAAAGAAAGAGAAATGGAGGGTGGGGGGAACAATAAAAAGTTCTTGAGGCTTTTTTAATTCAAAATTTTATAGAGGGGCAAAAGTGACGTTTACCAGATAGAATGCTGATTTTTTTAATATATTTACAACAGTATTTGTGTAAAAAAAAAAACAAAAAAAGTGAAATTGTTAAAAGTAATTTTTTTCATTTTGGTTTTGCATACACTGCCACCAATTCCTTCTCTTTTATTTTATTTCACACACATATATATATTTTTTGGTAAGTCAAGACTGTTAAGGTTAGCGATACTGCTTCCAGATAGAAAGAATAAAAGGCAACTATAGTTATATTTGAAAGAGAGGAAGGATATTTTCTTCATATTTTTTTTAATTTTTCTTAATTTTTATTATTTTAAGTATTGCCTGGGTTGATGAGGGCCTCTGTGGCCAGCCCATCCCTGCTGTAATTTGAATTGCTGCTTTGTATTTTGATATGTAGTTCTTTGACTTTAGCAAGCTTAAGTTGCCCCACTGAATAATTTTTTTCAACTGATCCATCTAGAATTCTGTTCTTTTTTATGGAAGAGACTTTATCTTTCAGAGATTGCTTGCTTCTCCAAAATTTCATTGAGATCTTACAATTCTAGAATTTCTATTGACTTTACTTTTTTTCTTGGTGAAACACTAGTGGTCTAGAAGTCTTGATAAATGGGGTCTTTTCTTTTGTGATCAGCCAGGAAGAGGAGTTCACAAAACTCTGCCATAGCTCCTCACCCTTCCCAACTGCAAAGAGCATCATTATGAGAAGCCTGTTACAGATCAAGATGCATTGATGCCAAAATTACTTTTTTCCTTTCAGATATCACCTTCTGACTATTTCCACCATGGTTAAGAGGGCTAAATAAGATGATCATTCTTCAGATGACTAATTAACCCTTGCTTCTTAGAGAGGTTTTAGGGAAATTAAAAACTTCCAGATGCCAACATCCACCACTCAGAAGACCACCAATCTATTGCATCATACCAGATGCCACTCTCTCTTCCTAGTTGGGATTTCTCTCCTCGGTCCTGATCAAGGTATTATAATAGAGATATTTTCATTATAGACAGTGTCCTGAAGGGATTCCAGCTCAAATATAGGATTTCTTAAACCTAGCTAAAACTCCCAAAGTGATTTCATTGCTGGGCATATTTTAACACACTTAGGGGAAAGCAAATCTTTAAACAAAGCAAAACACCAAACTACAGTTTTAAAAAGAAGAAAGGAGAGAGTATTTTAGTTTCAAAATTACATTACATTTTAATTTAATTTTCCTTCTAATTTTCCTGTCAGCATTTTATTTACAAAAACTGTGCAGCAAACGAGGGAAAATCTTCCAACACAAACAACTCTGTAATGACTAAATTGGTTTTATTCATATATTTCAGACATTTGGTTAACTTGGATCTTTTGCATAAGTTTCTTGTGATGCTTAGTAAGGTTAGTGTAACTGAAGTGTTTGTGAGTTTGATTTGGTCCCACAGTGCTTAATTCAGTGGATATTTTGCTAGAAGTTTTAATGTACACTTGGGTGGTTAAGTGACTATTGAGTATAACCTATTGTGATTTCTAAGAGGAGTCCTACCAAGAACTGTGTGTCCAAAACTGACCTGTTTTAACAGTTAGTAAGGAACAGCTTCCAAAATAAAGTAAGTTCATTTTTCTATTGCTAATTTTGCTTTTTAAAATATCAGTGTTGTAAAACTAATATTTCCACTTACCACCAATAGAGGGAGCATTAGTTAATTAACTATGTCATGGAATTGTTTTGATATTTTGGAAAACAAGTGATTCCACCCATAAAATAAAAAGAGAAGATTGACCTTAAGAAAAAAAACTCAAAGCTAGAAGATAATGACATGAAATCACTCAATACATGTTACAAATGAAAGAAGGCCAAAAGCCACTTTAAAATATGTTTAACTGTTTAACAGTAGTAGACTTGAAAGTGTCTTTGTTCAAAGTTAGCAAAGTAGGAAGAATTTTCACTAATACCTCCTGAAAAGTTGATCTTAGGTGCCATTATGGGCCACATGTAGCTTTCTGTTTCTCAAATCTGAGATAGACCCATTTGCCTTAATGCTGATTTGCCATGTAAAATGCTAAGCAATTGGGTTAGAATCCACCTTTTCTTTTGGTAGAACATGTAGAGAAAAAGCTGCAGGTGACTTGAAACCCTGAGGAGACTATCATCCTTTCCCTGTAAAGGAAGTGTCTCTTTAAAAAAAAGTGGGGGGGAGAGGGGGTGGAGGATCCCTAAAGAATTCTTAATGAGGTGATATAATCATTGTAGTCCATGACAAAATGGACCAGCCAGGTTTGCATAGCAGTAGACATATTCCTACTGTATGTTTATCCTTCCCAAACATGTCACATTGTAAAATAGTTGACAAATTATTTTGTGGAAAGAGGAAGAAGCTGGATTGGAGTGGGAGATCTAATCTGGAAGAGCAAAGAGGTAGTTGTTTATTGTTATGTTCCTGGCCCATCAAATGGCCACTTTCCAAAGTGACATTTTAGGAAATAAACCAATCTGGACCTGTTTCAAAAGGATGGAGATGCTTTTAGATTGTCAGTTCTCACTTTTAAGTTAAACAATCACAAATATCTTTAGAAATAGGGAAAGACATTTGCTTCAAAATGAGAGAATGAGTGTGGATATTTTTAATTTTTTTGTTTCAAGTCCTACAGTCATCTTACATTTGGAACTTCATGGTAGGGTAATATCAGTGCTAAAAAAAATTTCTTTCTAGTAGCCAGGAAACAGATAGATAAGATAAAAGCAAATGTTCCAGATTTAAGACTTCTTAGGATGAGTACAAGGAAGAAGAACTAGTATGGAAAGGACACTTTTTAGCAGTTTATAATTTTATAATGGAATTTGCCAAACAAGGGAAAGGAAAAAAAAGTCAAAGGGGAATTTTTATCTCAAGATACTTAGATATGGTTATAAAAAATAATATTTTCTAGCACTAAAAACATTGGTATTATCTCAGCATCATGGGCAATTTTTCCTTATTAAATGCCAACATTTGTACAAAAAAGGCCCCCAACTGTGTGAAATGTAATCCTGAAAAAGAAAATAATTGGAATACATGGATCTGATAGAACTCTACACAGGGGGAAAAACTGAGAAACAAGCTAAGCAAAAAAAAAAAAAAAAAAAAAAAACCTGAAATGAAAATCTCTGTATCAAAATGGTTTCCTGTATATTTTAATTGAGTGGTAAACTTTAGCTCCGAATAACAGTCTTATAGACTGTTCTCTTCCCAAATTCCTAATGCTTTGAATCTATTTGTGCCATGATTAAGTGTGCTGGGTAGTTTCCTGCTCATATTCTAGCTTCAGTTCATTCCTAGTCATCTTAGAGGTCACAGTAGCTCTTGGCCTTTGAAAAACTTGGGTTTGCTGTATTTAAGTCATAAGGGTTTTATTTTGCATCACCAAAATATTCTATAAGGTCCAAAAATACTCTTTTTCAACCCATGAACAGTAAGAATTTGTGAATTCTGAAAATGAAAAGAGAAAATTTTCCTCCAGGTATGTTTGTTTCATATTCAATCCTAAAGCCTTGAGCTATATGTACTTCCCTCACACAAGCACACCAGCTGTCTGTGCTCTGCCCGTGCCCAAAACTCAATGTTTTCTCTCAGCACAGAAATCAGAAATGCCATATGCCCCTTATAAAACTCCTACAATTCCTGAGAAAACATAGTAAAAGCTTATGTCACTTCCTTGTTGGGGCTCCTCCATAATGCTCCCAACACCTGTGACCCCTAGGAAAACAGGGAGCAAGGTAGATCTGGCCAGGAGTCACAGGATATACACCCATTCTGGAGCTTTCCTCTGTTGTTCTAGAAGATGTTATTTGGTTAGTTGGGGCTGGGAGCAGGGGATATATGTTTCTGCGGAAAAGGTATCAGATAATCAAATCAGGTCTGCCTCTGCTATAGCCAGTGTGCTGCTACATCAAAAGGGAACAAAAGGAAGGTGCAACTAAGAGCAGACACAACCCGAGATGCCCTTGAGATTTAGGAGAACAGAAGGGTGCCCTTTCTGTTGTGACCTGACTCTTAAAAGAAATCTTCTTAAAGAATTCTTTAATTTGGTAATGAGTTGAAGTCCAGGGTAATGGAAGCTCTAGGACAGAGAACAAAAGAATTGCAAAATGTATTCAGCACCAAACAATGCTAAACCAAGAAACATCCAATCACAAAACTAGGAAGTTTGGCAAGAAGTGGTTAGAGAAATCTCTGGGCTTTTCCATGGGTAGGGTCGACAGACTCTCTCTTGAGTGATTTCTGGCTCTGAGAAACCTCTTTACTCACTGGAAAAGAACTTTATTTAAATGGCCAATTTTGTTCCTCAGAAAAAGAAATTAAAAAAAAAAAAAATAGGACACTGAAGACAGAACCATGTGACTTGGTGACAAACAAAAGGAAGGGTGCACTAGAATTTCAATAGGCTCCCTAATTCCATAGAAAAAGCAAAGCAACCCAATGCCTCCTGAGCCTGCAGTGCATGAAGAGAGTGCTTGAGCTGACCCAGCCACCAGGCTTTGGGGGCTAGACATAACTTCCTACTGGAACAGCAGCAGCCTCTTTCCCCTCTTTGTGTTTTCATGAAGAAAATGGCTGTTCTCTTAGGTACCCAGGAAATAGATTACATGGGGCAAACTTTCAAAAGCAATCTGTACCTTGGTACTCAGGCTACATATAGAGGCAGAAAAGGGGCATGGAAGAGCCCTTGCTCTTGAGAGAGAATATTTTCATATTCCCAAGGGCTTTCTGTGTAGAGTTGCTATTTCTGATGTCACTTAAACCTTTATAAGAGAAAAGGCTGTGGTGACTCAGTGTTCCTGTAAACTCAGAATGTGGAAATTACTAATCCAAAGCATCGTTTCTAGCACTGAGTATCAAGATGATCTAGCCTGACCAAAATATTCCAAAGACTTTTCTAAGTCTCTGAAGATTTTTTTTTTGTCCTTTAACACTGAGTCTATAGCAGTCAGCAGTGTACCTTAGCAGATCCCCAGGAATGGTTGTAGAATAGTAGAGCTTGTTTCCATCCTTTTTAGAGTGAAGAGGTAGAAAATTAGGGCTACGTAGTGTGGGTTCTTTTTCAGAACTATTTATTTTCTCCTCACTGCATGAGGGGTAAAAATGCCATGGGTTGAAACAAGAAACATCATCTTTCTATACCACTGACGAAAACACCTGCCATTCCAGTGGTTTCTTCAGGCTCCACCTTTTGCTCCATAAACTGTAGACTTTCAGACTGAAATCTAATCTTAAGTGACCTCAATTAAGGTATTTTCACAAGAGGCTACTTACAGTATAGCATTATTGCCTTAAATCAGAAAACCCTGGGAAGAGAACAAAAGATATAGAAATGAGAAGGCTCTGAAGTTATAGGCATTTCTTGCTGTTTAATAGTTACATTATCATGAAAATAAGCCCTATTCGTGATTGAGGACTATGGAAATAGTGACTTCTTGGGGAGGCACCAAACTTCTCTAGAACTGACTACTCTCAGATAGTGGCTGCTATTTCCTATTCTATTTCAGTGACGTAGGTTGGGGCTGAATGTAAAATGGACATCATACTACTAAATAGAATCCTAGAAAATGCAATCACAGGTGCCTGGGAGTACTAGGTTTAAACATTTCCTTAACAAGGAGAACAATCCCAGCAAAAAGCTTTCTTTATCTATAGCATATATCTCTAAACTTTTTTTTCCCTCAGTTTTAGAGAGCATCTCTTTTATCTGGTGGTTCTTTGTTTAAATGCAAACTCATAACTTTCAAGTCTTCGTTGCAAGAGCATAATCTACAGATCATAGGCAAAAATCTAGCCACAGTCCTGAGAGTCCCAGCTTCTGGGATGCCCAATGAGGGTATAAAAGTCCCTACTAATCCTCTTTCATATTCAGAGGTTTCTTTGGTTTAGAATGGCTCAGTGAGATTTTGATACCTCCAAGAGAGAAAAAAAAAAAAAAAAAAAGACAAAATCTTGGGGGCATCTGTTTCTACTAGTGTTGCAACGGTTGTTATTACCCAGCAAAATCATTGCAGTTTATATGTAGCTTCAAGTAATGAAACAGTCTTAACCCATCCAGTATGTCACCACTGCTGTCCAAAATGTCTATAAATGAGTATACATTATTTATACATGTGCACACACAGTGTGAGCTTCCCTCAGCACAAAACTTTCACATTCATATTGCCCAGTGACGACAAGATACATTTTTGAACTTCTGGTTAGGAGTCAAAGGTCTGACATATCTCACATATCTGCTTCTGCTTTGTTGCCTTAGTTGAGTGCATCAGTATCTGTGATGAGACTTTAGGGCATTCTGAAGGAGCCCAACCATCAGTAATTTATATGTATCCCTTTCATGAGAAACTTGAATATGCTTATGTAGAGTACAGTGCATTTAACAAACTCTACAGTTCTATTGGATTTATTGACACGTGTGTGCACGTGTGTGTTTGTGTATATACTTATTGTCATCTGGAAGTGTATGTGTCCCCCAAATGAAGCACACACAGGCAGAGGTCCTTGTGCATAGATACAGTTGCCTCTTCCCAACATTGTGCTTAAGACTTGTGGCTCCCTTCCCAGGAAGCAGTCACCTGCCCACTCTGTTGCTTTTTGTAATGTTTCAGAATTGGGAGAAACAAATGCAGCTTGTTGAATCCACAGCAAACCCACAGGGACAGGCTGTTTTCCTCCATAATAAGGTATAACAGAAGTCTTCAACTGGTGAGCAGACAAAAAGGAGCAGCAGTCCAGGGCATCTCCCCAGGTCTCCTGGAGGAGGGAGGGGGGTAGGGGGCACCAATGCCAGGCAGGCAAAGCCCACACAAACTTTGGCCTGAGCCATCCCATAGCTCAAAGGTCTTCATTTCTTTCCTCTATGCAACGCAGTGCGCGCGCGCACACACACACACACAGACACACACAAATTTTGTTTTCAAACTAAAGCTTCCTAATTCTGCCTGTACTCGCAGGATATCATCATAGTTCACGAACTGTGTCTCCTGAAACCAATGTGGCCTTTGCCAAAGTCTTTCCAGGAGTGGGTTATTTACCATGTTTAGCAAACCGATAGACTATTGGGGGGAATATTTTTTGGTTATCTCTAGGAATTGATAGCTCTTGCCCATCTCAAACACTGAAGCAGAATGCCACTCAAGTGTAATGTACTGAATGAATGGACTCTGAAGGCTTGGTGGCCTGGAATTCAGGATTCAGTTTTCTCACTTCCATGCCCTTCTTTTACTAGATGGTTTGTTATTTTTTATGACTTGTAGATTATTTCTGCTTTACAGAAGTCAGAGGACATTTTCTTTCCTCTTCTATTCTGGTGACTTTTCCCCTCCCTCTGTTAAGTAAGGCTACTTACAGTTGCCACTTTTTTGTCGTTATTACTTTTTAAAATGTATATTGTCTTTCTATATCCAAAAGAAGTCTGTGACTGTAACCATAGGTATTTCTTTTTACTGGAAAAAAAAAATCGTCGTTTTGGTTTTTTTTCTTTTACTTAACAGTACTAGTGACTTTGAAAGAATATGAGTTACTATTTAGGTATGCTTACTTAAGTACAATACACTACATTGCAGTATTTCTGAAACCTAGGACATACACATTATATATAACAACTCTATATTGAAATATATATTACATTATATTCATTTTAACTTTTGAATCTGCCTATGATCATGAGTTGATTGAAATATTATGTCTTTGCATATATCACCCATCACCAAACTGCTGCAGTTAATCTGGTGCATTTAATAATAATCATTACTGCTCTAATTTGCTTTTTATATATCAGCTTCAGTATTGTCTTTAGAGGATTTTAGAATTTGTTAAAGCTCAGACTTACTTAGCAAATGTAGGAAAGTGAAAACTGTTTTTGAAACTTTTTTGTTGGTGTGACTAATACAAAGAGGTTCACATTCAAAGTGATCTTGTTTAGCTGACCCACTCGATATCTGAAGAACAAAAGAGGTGCATATGAATGTATCTGATTTTCCCCTGTAGGACTGTCACTGTCTATATTTGCTTTTAAAAGTATGACCAAGGGGCTACTTAAGTGCCACATGATCTGACCAAAAATAACAGACTGCGTTTCCAAGGGCCAGTCTTCTGAAAAGCATAAGACAG